AAATAGATAGAGGTGAGCTTCTCACTCTACAATTCTTTCATTCTTCTAATTCTTTGTTTTCTTTTCGCTCAATATCTGCATATTAAACTAGAAGATGAGTACTTCATGAAAATGAACAACAAAACAGAGATGGAGAAGCATCTTTGAGAGCAGCAAAGAATTTGTCATTGTCAGGTAACTTGCTGGATTTGAAAATATAATAATGAGAATAATATATGGAGCACTGTAAAGAATTTCAAGAGCCACTCATAGGGTATGTTGCCATCAAAATCATATGATTATGTTATAAAGAGTAGAAAACTCTCAGGAGCTAGATAATTGACCTCTATTCTAGTGGCTGATGAGACTTACTACCCAAACAATGAATCAACCTCGACTCTTTATCAAAAAAGAAAGGCTAATTAGCAAGACAAAATTATTGCTGACAAATGCTTTCTTAAGTGATATTTTTTTAGGCTAAAAAGCATAATTCAAGATTACTTGAGATTGTATAAGGCAAAGATGGATCCAATTGATATTTCACATATTTTGAGTCGATCGTCTCATCTATCAACAACTATGATGGTTCCACTTTCTATGATTATTTCATTCACCAAGTTCATAAGGATGCAAAAAGGCCACTGAAGAATTCGCGAGTCTTCTTCTAATTGATCCAAGAACCAAGTGAGTTGTTAATGTCACGCCCCAGAATCTAATTTGAAAGAATTATTCTTTTATATTTTAATTTACACAATCAGAGCAACATAATTTTATTTATCAATATAAAAACAACGAAAATAAAATTATCGATCAAAACATCAATATATACATCTATATTCATTTTCTAAAAATCATGCACATTACTTATAATCTATATAATCATAATATATCTATCATATTCTGAGTATAAAATAATAGCTACTAACTAAAAGAAACAATCTATATTAAACCTGAAGAATCCTGATCAGTCTCACACTCTTGATCATTTGTCCTAAAATTAAAATATTTAAACCACGTAAAATAAGCTAAAAAAACCTAGCAGGACACCAAAACTTATAATTGAATTCAAAACACAAAAAAGGAGTAATGTGTGTGTCAGCGGTCAAATTATAGCAGTAACATTCATATTATAATTGAATCAGTGCATAAAGAATAAAACTCACATGTAATAGCAATAAAGTCCATAAAACATCAAAATAATATTATATGAAAGCGAGTAAAGTAATAAAGTAAGGAAACTAAAAAACTAGTATGGATATTGAATCAATAATGTAGTACAGGGGTGCAAACAAGCCGAGTCGAGCTCGACTCATAAGCTAAATATTGAGCTGAAATTAGATCTTAAACTCGAATCGAGCTCAAAAGACGAGCTCGGCTCATGCCACTGAAAATAGCTCATCGAGCAGCTCGATTACTCTCTTCGAGCTACGATTTCACTACTGCAGTTCGCCCTCGATTCTGCCCCACGACTCCACCTGTTGCGTCAAAGCCCGTGTCCAAGGATACCCCATAATTTCGCCATCCAAGCACGCCTGCCCCCCTATATCATCGCCTGATCCTGTATTCCAGCCCTCCTTTTGCGAATGAACCCTCCTTTCACGTAGTGATCTCGCCTTGTGCAGTTCCACCATTCGGATTCCACTCAAGCCAGTCAACAAGTTATCGAGCAGAGCTTAATCTAGATCGAACTCAAGCTTGATATGTCAACTAGCTCAAATCTTGAGGGAGAAGAACTTCCTCCCGTTGTGCTAATGCTGACTGCCTAATCTCTCACAGGAGCTGAAGGATCTTGTTTTGAGATTCTTCCATCTTTCGGATTCTCTCTTCTAAGGAATGTCCAAAGGTTCCTTCTCCAGCAGTATTTTGCCCCCCATGGTAAAAAGAGGCAGACATCAGGCGTCTATGATTCATAGACTGGTTTCTAGATTGATTAGAGTTGGAGCGAGAAGCCCTAATGATGTGACTGCAATGCCTGTTGATCATTGAAATATACTTAAAATTGTGGTATATTGTTTCCCACCGATTGCGCCAAACTATTGCAAAATAGAATGTACGTGGCAATAAAATTAGAAAATGTTCGTCTCGGCATTGTACAGATATCTAGCACACAAATATGAGAGAAATAGAAACACCATGATATTTCGAAAACCCTGGAAAGGGAAAAAACCACGGGGCCATGCCCAGTTGAAATAATTTCACTAGTGTTTGTTTGAAGTACAAGAGGCTGATTCATCCTTAAAATTTAGGACAATCAGTTTACAATGCTTCACTTCCGGATTGAGATCCAATTACAATGTCGAGCAGAGTTACGGTGTCACTTGGAGATTGAGCAGAATTCTGGCTTTGGGCAGAACTATAGCGTCGCTTGGGCGTCAGGCAGAACTCTAGCGTCATTCAGAAGTCGGGTAGAATTCTGGCGTCGGGCAGAACTCTGGCGTCGCTTGGGCGTCAGAAAGAACTCCGGCGTCGTTCGAAAGTCAAGTAGAAGTCTAACGTCGGGCAGAACTCTGGCGTCGCTTGGGCGTCAGGCAGAACTCCAGCGTCGTTTGGAAGTCCAGCAAAATTTCTTCAGCGGGCAAAACTCTGTCGATGGTCGAGGAGTTATTCCCTCCTATCCTTCTCTTCTTCTTTCTTGGGTCCCCTCTCATGAGAAATGAGGGGTCTATTTATAGATATTATGGAGTGGCACAGCTTGTAAATAGGTGTGAGATCAGGGGTAAATAGGGAGTGTTCGAATGGACGACCGATATTAAATCCCTTGATAGTGCACCGTTCGTTAGACATTTGAAAGTCTTGATGATGTAGGAATTTGACGATATTAGGCTCGTTGGATTCGTCTCGTCGAGCCGCTCGATTCGATTATAAGAATGTCATATTTGGAAACCGTTTGGTAACTCAAATTATGGTTTGAATTTTCCAACAGCGCTTCGAGTGCTTGATTTGGACTCATTTGGGCTCGGATTGAGTCGAATTTGGTGTCGTTGAGTTCGTATTTCCGAGACGCTCAGTTTGACTATAAGTTCACTGAAATCAGAGTTCAAGTGATCCCGAATTTAATTTTTGAAGTTTCAGGCTTGATTTTGCCTTGAGATTAGTGCCCGATCAAGATATTTTTTGAGGATATATCAACACTGATTTTCAATCATATAACTATTACTGTTATGAATTGTCTAACAACATACTACTAATTCTTTAACATGCTTTGTATGATAGGATTTTAGTGACATGTTGTGCTATTTAACTCATTGTATGTAATTTAAATGATTTTAAATAAAGGAAGAGAGAGGTTCATAAGCGTGAGACTAATAAGGATTCATCATATTCCATTCCTTTTTTATTTTAGTTATCCTATTGTACACATGAATGAAAAAATATTTTGTGATATTATAATTCACGAGTATTGTTATGATTTTGATTAATATAATCTATTTTTATTGATATATGATCTTGCTATTGATAAATCAAATTAAATAGGTCTAATTATTATTTAATAAAAAATAAAAGAAAAAATTCTTCCAAATTAGATTATAAGACGTGACAAAAAACAAATCACTATTCATGTTTGCTCGAGTAGAGGAAAAGGTAAGGAGACAAATCAATATTGTTGCCTTTCAGTGGAAGGAAGAGGGGAAAAAACTTCTTTGTGGATGACTGTGAGCAAAAAACTGACTGAAACTAGTAACCCCTAATTTTATTCCTCTCTAAATTGAAAGCAAATGTGGAGAAAACGTGACATAGCACTAGATGCCGCATGCAAAGATCCTTCACCTTCACCTTAATAATTGGAGTCAGCCAATTATATCATCTATCACATAAACAATGAAATGATAAAGATTTAGGCTTCATTTGGAACAGCTTTTGTACTGCTTTTGAAACAACTTTCTAGTACAAAATTTTCAAATTATAAAAATTTTTATACTTAAAAGTTATTTTAAAAAACAAGAAGAAAATAATTTCAAACAAAGACTTAATCTATTTGGTTACTGACCCACTCCTTTGCAACATCTTTCAATTAGGATTTGCTTACATTTGGCGGTCATACAAACTTCCTTTCATTTTGTAGAAAACTGTCATATTTTATTGAAAGATTAGCATCTTAAAAGTAGCTTGCAGGCCTCAGAAAAAATCAAAATATCATTTCAAAACATATTAAATAGCACAAATGACGAAATATGCCATGAATAAATTTAACGCCTAAGTAGTTCGTGAACTTAGCGGCTTTAACAGGTTCTACTAAAGAATCCACAACTTATTTTGTAGTGGATCTTACTTATCAGAGCAACAAAAATTATATGTAATAATAATAAAAGAAGTAATTTTGATGAGGAGCTTGAAAAGCCGTTGTCTGGTCAGGCTTTTGTTTTTAATCAAACCTGGGCCTTATCGTATAGTTAATAGTTATCTTTAACATCACTTACAACGACGCATTGGCAATGACAAGCTTGAATGTAAAACAAAATACGCACAAGTTGCTATGAACGGCTATTACCAACAGCATATAAGACAAAATAATTAAATTTACTTTCACCTCCCATATACAAACCTAGCGAGGCAGATCCTGACAAGAATGGAAGCTTCCAAACCCAGCCCATCAGAAGAAGCAGAACTGCTTGAAGGGCTACTCATGAATAAACATATCGAATACTTACAGTCCCCTTATTTGCCTGATTTGAAACACAAGGCAAGCCTCTCCCAGAAGGCACATCTTTGTTGTTTGCAATAGATCGCCCATTCTGCGTATCATAATTCAGATCCATCCAATTCCAGATCGATAAAACGATCATTGTAGCTTGAAATGTTCAGATTTTCCAGCGTGCATTTTCCACCATTTATAACCTTCACTGCTCTCTTCTTGGATTGAATAGTGCTTTCGTCGAAGTCATCGTCATTTGCTACAGGTTCTATGCAAGTGGAGCCTCTTCTTCTCTTGGTAGCATCATTGTCGCTGCTACTGCTGCTGTTCTTGCTTCCTCTATGTTGCTCTCTGATTATGGATTCTATGGTTTCCAACACGCGATCTCCATATTTCAGCAACTTTGCCCTAGTTAGATTTTACCCTTGATGAGCATAGATCGAATTTTATGCATGGCTATAAGACAAAAAAGACTTACTTGCCAATGCCGTTGATCTCGAGAAGTTCTTCCTTGGTTCTTGGTATTCTTTTGCTGATTTGCTGCAGAGTAGCGTTTCTAAGAAAACAAGAGGTCAGGCAAGTTATTGCTGATCACAACAGTACATGGAGGAAGATGTTTAACAAGACAAACCCAAAAATGTGGTAAGCCATGACCCCTTCCCCTGCTTCTTTTACAAGTAAAGTTCTGAGCATACGCAAAGCAGCATAAAGTTTGGCTGATAAATTCTGTCAAAACACAAAATAATTTGCTATGAGAAACAAGAACTTAAAGATTTCCCAAAATGAACTAGTTAACTAATTGAATGGGAGCAACATTTAGCAAGTCAGCTTCATTTTGTGCTTCAACAGAAATGTTCTGTTGAGAACGCAAAGCTTCTGTAAATGATGAAGCCTTTGCAAGTGGCACTTCAGATTTGCTCTTCCATGCCTTTGCAGATGAAGGGAACCTGCAGAGAAAAATTGCTTCAGATCAGCAATTCAATCAACAGAACAATAATCATAGCAATTTTACAGATCTAGTACATTAAAAAAAGTCATAGATGTGGGATAAACTCTAGACCTCTCTAATTTTGCGTTTGGAATGAGGGAATATGTCACCTCAAACATTCAATCGTATAATTAGTGAACCAAATGCAACTAGAAGGGAAAAGGTTTGAAGAAGGAAAGGAGGTGAAATTTTAGTCTTAATAGCAAACCACAACAAAATAATTTGCAGACATGCAAGGAAAGCAATAATCATAATGTTCCCAGTAGTCCATTTAAAAAAAAAATTATAAGTCTACATCAACCCATTTCCAATGTCTCTCCCTCTGCTATCTAGTATAGTTAGCAACATGGCATAAACACTATTAACTCAACAGAATAAGCCATCACTACAGGTACAGAAATGGCCATAAACTCAGCAGCAGGCTCAGCCTGTATGCAAGCATAACTGAATGTGCGTCAATTAACGATATTGAGATAGCTTATCTAATCACTAAAAGTCGATCCTGGATCACAGGAGAAAGATTTTAAATATGATATGGTGGAAATAAAGAAAGCGTAATGTGAAAATTGAACCTCAGTGTGAGTATTTGTTCACCAGAGTAAAGTCTGCATGCTTTAGACTCATTCACCTACACAAAAATAATAATTGAATGCAAAGGCATTCTATGGTGCTAAAAGAATGTGGTGAAGCGAGAACTTTGAAACATTTTACAAAAGTGAAAAGCATGTTGCATACCCTCAAGACAGAAGATATGGATCCATAGGCATCACTTTTCTTGACTTCCTCCACAAGAATGTCCTCAATCACTAAATGGCGAATTATTCTGGATGCTTCGCCTTTCGGCAGGTGTTTACCAGCTCCATGAAGTCTCAAAGTGTCATGTTTGTATTTCTTGATCTAGAAGATGCCTAGGCAGTTAGATCCACCATTAACGCAGAATATAGATCAGTAGTTATATGAAATTAAATTAGTGTTTCCAACATACATTTAGGCTCATTGAGCCCCTGTATACTTCAAGAATATGAGACATCGAAAACTGCTGAACTGTTTCTTTAATGAGGTCCACCTGCACCAAAATAACTAAGCATGTGCTTAAGAAAGCAAAAGAGTTCAGACATGGAAGTATTAGCGAAGTTATAAAGCAAAGATTGGTAATAAAAATGTCGAACCAGTTGCCTAGCAATATCAGTGACATCTCTCTCAATGGAATTCAACATTTTGGAACAACTATCGCATGTCTTCTGGCAGTCTGAAGGATTGAACTTTTCACCAAAATGAATTAATTGCAATAAGCGCCTACAATCTGAATCATTTTCACAATAATTAACCTGTTATTCATGAATAGTAAACAGAAGTTAATGATTATTTATTACTCTTAAAATCATGGACAGAAAAGAAAAAGTAGCCACCCAAGTTACCTACCATGCGCAACAAATTCTCAATATTTGTTTCCAATACTCTATCAGTGCTAGCCGGAAGATTTCGCCTAGACCCAGCAGCAAAGGGACTTTGGTCTATGACTCCTTGAGTAAGCATGTGTTTTACTCTAATCTTCATTGATAAATAATGAATAAAGAGCTAGAATGGATATAAAAATAAGACAAACGTACAATTGCGAAATGAAAGAGGTCCCAGGCATTGCAAGGTCGTTCCAAAAGAAAAGATGGATTATTTGTTACTTACATAGTCACTATAATTATAATACAAAACACAGGATGAGCGAAGGCCATCCCTGCCAGCACGCCCACACTCCTAAGAAGCACAAACTATGATTAGCATCAATATCGCAAACAAATAATCTGTATTTGACAGCAGAAAATAATGTAAAGTACACCAAAAACTCACCTGATGATAACCTTCTATAGATTTAGGTAGAGAATGATGAATCACGAACCTAACATCAGGTTTGTTAATACCTGAAAAAAAAAATGCTAGATATCATATCATGCCCGATTGACCAGTTGACAGATCATAAATGAAAGAAGGAATACCCATGCCAAAGGCTACAGTGGCACATATTATGTTTATTTCATCTTTACTCCATTGCTTTTGAACAAAGGCTCTCTGTTGGGGATCCATACTACCATGATAGAAAGATGCTTTGTGTCCGCATTCCTATAAAAAGACCAAAATGTTAGATCAACTCAGTTCTCCTAATACTTATTCATATGAGATTTTAAGGCCAATAACAATCATAGGGCAAAAAACATCATATATGATATATCCCATATTACTACGTAGATAATACCTACAGAAAATAAACCACTAGCCAATCCCATCCAGAAAATGAATAGAGCCGAGATCAGAATCATAATAAAAAATAATAATTAGTGTGTTTCTAATTTTCTGAGAAATCTTATGCTTAAGAAAGAAAACCTGCAACTTTTCAGCCACTTTCTCACAATCCATTCTTGACAAGCAGTAAATGATTCCGCATTCATCAAAATGATTGTCCTTGATAAATTTATCAATATCATCCAAACATTTCTTGGTCTTGGGGACCACAGAATACCTGAAAAATTTACAGAAAATATTGATACAGGGAAAATTTTGAAGCAACCCATCGTCACTCACCATAGGTTTGAGCGATTGAAACTCTGTCTGAAAACAATGCAGTTTGCGAGGCCTAGAGCCTGCACGACATCTTCCTTTACACTTGCTGTTGCAGTAGCTGTTAAAGCTAGCACTGGTGTATTAGGATACTTCTGCTTCAAAATTCCAAGTCCCTGATACAGTTCAAATTCAAATCAATGATTATATCTTCAACAATTCTCAATTTTAAAAAAAATGTAATTGTTCATACCTGATAATCTGGTCTAAAATCATGTCCCCACTGGCTTATACAATGCGCTTCATCAATAACAATCCTAGAAAGTAATCCCCGGGAATATAAAGCATCAAAATTTCTCAACAAAGCATCACTTCTGCATAAAATGATTAATAGTCAAGAAACATGACTGAAAAAACACAAGTTAAAAAAGGTGCTTCAAAATTTAGTGATGCTGAGGTTGATATATCATTTGAATTCATATTTCTGTTTACAAGATTATTGCCACAGTCGAATTTAAAGTTGATAACAATTAAAGGTGATCTGGTACGAAGGACAAAGATGAAAGAAAGCAAGTACGAAAATTTCTGCTGTAATCAATCAGGTCAAAGTTGACTCAAGGGGTGCCACTATATTTTAAAGCTGAAGGTCAATTATATTGAGTTAAAAGCTCGGAATTCATGCAGGAGTTCAATTACAAATTTCGGGAGGATGAATTTGGTTATATGATTTATCTTGATTGTGCAGCAGTTTGAGTTTATGAAATGATCTCAAGCGTCCAACAGACTCCACTGTGCCATTCACATGCAGACAAACACTTCCTTCTATATATGTGCTTTCATCAGATGAAGCGCATCATTTCCATCTTGCTAATCGTATTGAACTGAGATCAACATGTTTGCTCAAGAAAAATAGCATTTCGGCAGGAATACGGCTTTGCAAACTTAGAATTTCATTCTCCTTAACGCGGAATATAGTTTAATAAACTAGATTTTCTCCGAAGATTGTATCAGGATTGATTTAGATCTGGGTCCTTACTACCTAAGAGCACAAGCCCTCATAGTTAATTATCCCTCTTATTGCGTAAGAGAAAACTCTCAATTAAGGAACAATCACTCTAGCGTAGCTTAGGAAGCTTAAGTTTTATTCTCATTTGTTGGGGGATGGCGATAGACCCAATAAAGATTCTATGGTTCCGTCATCCCAAGAATATTGTACATCTCGATCTACCAATGCTAACAAATCATCGGTTGTAGTGTCCAGTGAATCTAATTAGCAACCATAGATTGCATTCTCTGAGGGATCCCGAGTAGACTGAGGTGGTTAGAGGTTTGTTTTTATTTGTTTATTCAAGTTTGGGGTTTATGAATCCTTTTAGGAGTTGCCCAGGGTTGGATTTAGTTTGGAGCTTACAGTTTCATTTGAAAGTTGCCCGGTGATTTGATTTAAGATGGGGCTTACGGGCTCCACTTGGGAGTTTCCGATGTGTTTGATTTAATCCGGGGCTTACCACTTCACTTAGGAGTTGCTCGTTTGCTTAATTTGGTTCGGGGCTTACGGTTCTACTTAGGAGTTGCCCATTTGTTAAATTTGGTTTAGAGCCTACAACTCTACTTAAGAGTTGCTCATATGTTTGATTTGGTTCAAGGCAAGGCTACAACTCCACTAGGAAGCCGATGTATTGGTTGGGATACGAATCCATTATACGTTCCTATTTTAATTTAGGCGCGGATACAGCCCATAGAAGTTGCCATAGGTGCTTACTGTGTTGGCAGCAGATACTTAACTGCATCTCTACTATCACCATGTTTTTAATTATTACTAAAAATAATAAATGAAATTAAATTTATTTTCAATGATTAACTAATAATTAAAATGAGTTTAACTTTATATTTAGATTAACTAAAAAATAAAATT